ATAGAAAATTCACTCATCAACACATGATTTGCTCTCACTGACCTTAAGACTCAGAGGTCAACGAAGTTCAGATGAGTGTGGTCGACTGCAGCGAATGGACCGACCTCTGCGCCGCTCAGCCAGGCAGTGCTGTCCCCTTCCAGCCAATCACTGCCTTTCCCAGTGTCTTGTTTCTTCACCCCCAGCATCCGGCCCACCACTTCAGAGGAATGCTGGGTAGTGAGTCACTACATCGCTTCATCATGATGTGAGAAAACATGAATATAACTTTGAAGTCATATATAAGCCTTTAACCTCAATCGGGTCCAAATCAAGGATTGATTAAGTTATTGAAATAGCAGTTAGTGTACTTGTACAATCCTTTCCCTTTAACCTGAAATAGAAATAGAGGTGTGTTTAGTTTTGTAGCGCTGTCTTTTTAATGTCAGTCTACTTACATGTACACGTGTGTTTGTGTGGACTTGATTTTTTTAACCAGAAGCCGTGTAGCTTCTCCTGTTCGTCTGTCCACTCTAGAGGAAGCGCAATCATTCCTTCTGGAAGTGCCTCATCCTGAGCTAGCAGGGTACCAGCTTGACAGAGTTGTGGGATTGTTTGAGGCCCAGACACAAACAGGTAAGATGTTGTTATTGTGCATTGTTGTTGCAAGGGAAGCCAAAGTGCAAATGCTAAACTTCTATTAGTTATGGTTATACTACTTAGGAAGATCTCCCAGTAGCTGCAATCAAAACAAGAACTTCTAAGGGAGTGGAGGAGAAATACTTGGAGGTGTTTTGTAGCTGTGAATTAACACTGTTGTCTGTACTCATTCACATTCATAGCTATCTCAATGTTAGCATTGTGTTTACAGTAACAGAGTAGGTGTAATCAGCTAATACTCACTCTGGCTAATATATAAAAGATACATTTAGCTACTGTGACCTCTGTTGGTTTGTGAACTCCTGTTTTAAAGCAATGAGATGAGTGTTTTTACTATTGCTATCTTGGTGTTTGGAAAGTGGGGGTGATAAATAAGGGGCAGATCACTACACATGATCACTATATGAATGGGAGTGGTAAACAACCAAATGGGAAAGTAGTTGTCTCAATCAATCAATCAATCAATCAAAGCTTTATTCGCCACATGCAGGTTGCCCTGCAGTGAAATGGGAC